GACTGTAGTGGATAGACAAACTAAGTACTACCTACTATTACTAATCAGATGGCTAGACAAGCCTTCTTAACTATACAGAATAACATACTAAGCTGTGTGGATGATGAAAATAAGCTCCTCTATTAACAATTAGATGGCTAGACAAGCCCTTTCTAAACATCAGAATAACATACTAAGCTGTGTGGATGATGAAAATAAGCTCCTCTATTAATAATCAGATGGCTAGACAAGTCCTTTCCTAAACATCAGAATAACATACTAAGATGTGTGGATGACAAAACCAAGCTCCTCTATTAATAATCAGATGGCTAGACAAGCCCTTTCCTAAACATCAGAGTAACATACTAAGCTGTGTGGATGACAAAACTAAGCTCCTCTGTTAACAATCAGATGGTTAGGCAAACTATTTCCTACACTTCAGAATATGGTGAGCTGTGTGGATGATCAAAAGAAGTTTTCAGTATTTACCAAATGTTGTTGAATGGACCAATCCCATATTGGAGAAGGAATGTTGGTTACAGTTCCAAATATATTATGTGTATCTTTATGAAATGTAGCAAAACTTTAGTAATATGTGCAAGTCTGTTAAACACAAAAAATAAGATGTATTACAAAAGTATCTGTACTAAAGATATGTCTGTAAATTGACAACATCAGTTTGACTCAGACTCTGGCAAGTTGGAATGCAAAGAGATGTTCAAGTGAAGAATAAAAAATACTTTTGTCCATTGTACATTTTGTATGTTGCATTGACATAACCTATAGAACTTCCAAAATACATATCTACAGTTTTTTCAGTTTCCCTGCATATTGTATCTGGTATTTCCTTTCCTCTACCACAAACTATCACTAAATCAGCAATGTAGGGTAATATGAATCATTGATAACTCTGAAATCAAATACATAATGTCATGTTGAATGTCACCCTGTAAGTGGTCTTGGCATGTGCACTTTGACCCTACCTAGGCACAGAGGGAATAAGATGGCCAGACAAACTATATCCCTCTAGCAACAAGTTTATTTCAAAATCAAGGAAAAAACATGGTTTTTAATTACTAAGAGGAGAAATGTATATGTGCACATTCCATTTTTTTTTACAACTGAGTACAAGCATAAGATATAACAACAGCTCCACGAAATCAGAAAAGAAAAAGTTTGATGAAGCATAGTTTTGCCAATTTCAAAAATATCAATACTAAATGTTTTTGAAATCTAAGCCCCAGAAATATTCTGAAAAAATATTTCTAGCATTAAGATGTCTAAGTTTGATATATGTGAATATGATAATTACATAATATATGCATGACAATTACATAATTGGTGCTGTTGTTGATATCTGCAGTAACATTGTTATCCTAAGCTAGAGTTTTGTGTATCAGAATCTAAAGATTTTTTAAACATTTACATCGAACTTTGACATTAACATATCATTATTTTCCTTTACCACTACTGGCAATTATTAATAATCTACTAGTATTATATTTCAACAATACAAAATGACAACCATAGAAAGCACAGGTTCAAACTTGTGTGGTTTAGTTTTTAACTGAAACATCCAAAGTGTATGTAAATCTACATTTCATGTTCAATTAGCCTTTGTTCTTTCATTTGCATGTCCAAGACGTTCCAGTATTCTTAATTTAATGTGCAAATTATTTACACTCACTAACAACTCTATTTTTTCTTTTACAGTTTCAAATGTAAGAGGGTAAATCAGAGTTATGAAACCTGTTAATTATGGTTTTCTAATAGCATTCATTGTTCTAAGAATAAGGTATGTTACAATTTTTATACTCTGAGATACAATGTGTTTCTCAAAGGTGAAGAGTCAGAAGAGAAAAAACTAAGTTCAGACTTTTCAAAAATAATTTTTGTCACACTATATATTTTAATGACACTTGCCATAAAATCATCACAAGTTATAAAATTCGTGAACAGAAGAGTACAACTGAAACTAAGTGTTATAGATACATTCTTACATGGCTTAATAGTTTTTATGTGAAGAAAAGCTAATATTTCTACATATCTTTATAATTTTGCTACTTGTTTCAAAACACAACAAAATTGAAGAAACATTAAATTTTTATGTTATTCTCATATTTCTTTTGTTTCACCCACAATTTCTGTATTTTAAACAAATAGGCCTACCTTTATAGGTAATAATCTTCATTAGCTTAAGCAATAGGTACAATTTAACACATCTCTTAAACTTTTAGGCAATAACAGTAAGATGTGATTAACTTTGTTTGAGCATTTTATATGCAAAACTGAAATTTAGCATCAAATTCTTTATGTAGTTTTTGCAGAACTGTTTTCACTTATTTCCTCTGACATGGTAATATTGTAATCAAATGGATTTACACATATTCAAAATGTTTAATGAAATGTAGTAACACATATAACAAAAACACTGAAATCTTTCTGAAAACAAAACCAACACTCATCTTCTTAGTTTTAATTTATCTCAAGGACATCATTGAATTTCAGAAGCATAACAATAAACTCTTATAATAATATTATGTAGAAAAAAAATTGATATCTATTTACATCTCTCATATTATACTCATATCATTGAATGTTAATATTTTGTAACAATAATCCTTTATTACTCACTACATTTTGATAAGAAACAGACAAAGCTTTTCCTGGTGTTGGAAGTTTTGATTTATGAAGCAGAGACAAGATGTTACACCACACCAGTTCAGGATGAGAGAAACATTTCTCTAATTCTCCCAAAAGCTAAAAAGACAGAAACAAAGGTTCTTTTGACTTAACCTATTTTCACATATGTCACAGAAAGGTGAACAAACTGTTTAAGCACAGAAATGTAGTCAGCAGTTAACACAAAGCATATATAAATGTATTAGCACACACATACAATGAACTGAATTCACAGAACATTACAATTATAGAAAACATTCTCAGAATTTTAGGAATACTTTTTACCTCCACCACCAAAAGTGGACAGAGGTTATGTTTTCACCCCTGTGTGTGTTTGTTAGCAAGATTTCTCAAAAATGGTAGAATGGATCTGGACTAAAGTTGGTATACATTTGGACTATGACCCACCTTAGAAGATATTGATTTTTGAAGGTTCAAGGTCAAATGTCATAGAAAGATCAGAAAATCCAAAAAAATTCCTATTTGTTAACATGGGGACCAATTTTTCACACTATTTGCTCTATAACTCATTCAAAAATGATCAGATTTTGATGAAATTTAGTAGACATGTGTAGAATATTATTCCTCATTGTTTTGCCAAAAATTGTCCATTTCTATTGATAATGATGGACTTATGGACACATTTTCCTATTTTTTTAGAGCTGATTATCATCAACTCTGCATGGCAGACATATGTGCTCTATTGAGTGCTCCTCTAGTTTCACATGTAATATTATTTTAACTTTCCATGGGTTAAAATATTAGAATCATTCATTCTATTACAAAATCACCTTTCTACTTATAGAAGTGAAGCAGTTCTAAAATAGTGTTAAGATCAAGCTATAAAAAAAATTTCTTCATCATCTCAGGCCATTTTTGATCAACTCTCTTGCTACAGGTTTGGCTGATTCAACCGAGTTCGTGATCTCAAAGTGACCATCATAAATTAATATGTTTTGTGTATCTCCATGAAATATCACAAGCTTTCAGTAAACATTACAAGTTCTTTATAGAAAAAAAAATCAGAATTTTTAATTTTTTGACTAAAAACTTCATGAATATATGGAGTCAAAGTGTTGACTGCTCTAAAGTAAAGTGATTTTCATGTTCAAATTAAATATACTTTTCTTCATCTGAAAATTGTCAAATTTCATTTGCATAATCTCTAAAACCTCCTAAATAAATATCAAACGTTTTTTTTGTAAAACTTTATATTTTATCTATTATTTTCTCTACCCTACCTCTATATGCATTTGGTCAATTTAACTGATCTCATAGCCACTATAAAAAATATGAAATAAATCTAAAATACCCAATTTTTCTTTCTTGAATGACTGCAAATTGTAACAGGAGACTGCAGCTGTTTATCTTAAATAGCTTAAAGCTCATAACAGAATACAATTGTTTATACTTAAATTTTATTATTGTATTGCCCCATGAACCATGTACAACTAACAATACTGCCACACAAGTTGTAAATAACTCAGCGAATGTGTAACTCACTTGCTGCATCAAATCACGTAAAGAATGAGTTGCTCTTGAAGAATATTTTTTTTCAATATCTTATCTAATCTAATAAGTTTCTAATTTTTACATTGTAATTACTTTTATAATAATAACTAAAGAATAAACATGAAAAACAAAAAATATAATACTTACCTGGGTTTTCTTTTCTTTTTTCGTTTGCTGTTGACTGTCAATGAAACTTAAGCCTAATTTTTTTATACTAATGGTACTACTATACTAGATTTTTTATTTAATTAAATACTGCATCTAAGAAAATAGAATAATTATATGTAAAAAGCAAACAATGTTTTATAACTATCATAATTCTTCTGGCTTTCTAACTATCAGATAAAAGTCTTTTAAAAATTCAGCTAAGCTCAAAATGCGATTCCCATGAGATTAAATTTGAAACTGAATGATGAAATAGACAATGCACTGTACAACAAACAATGTAACATAATACATCATTTGAGATATTAAAACTTTTTCTTTCTGTTGGTTATAAATTATATAGTACAAAACATCAGAGAGAACTATTGACAATTTGGGATGTGACAGGTAGGCACAGCAAGTGGGTTTGATTTTCTAGTTTATGACTCCATAACAAAGAAGATTGAAGGCAAAAAAATTATACTTTGCCTTAGTATTATTTATGTTAAATTCCATACTTCATTATAAAATTAAGAACTTAAAACTTATATAATGTTAAAATTTGGTTTATTAACTAGGTTTTAATACCAAGTTATTTGTATGCAATAATAATAAAGTAGCTTTATTAAATTTTGAATGTAACTCTCTAAAAAGTCAGTATATGCATACTTTGACCTTAGTTAACTCTAAAGACCTCAGACTATGTAATTTGTTATCACTGGATAATTCATGTTCATGCATGCACCATATACTATTTTTAACTATTTACTGCCTTTACAAGGACTTATACAAGAATAATTAGACTAAGGTGATATCTGATCTAAACAATTTTACTGTAAGCACTTAAATAATAATGGCTATTTCATGAATATATCAGTGCTAATCAGATGAACGCTGTTCCTAAGTGAAAACACTTTAATTTTATAATTTTTGTTAACTCTCTTCTACAGCATCTCATTTCACAAAGTTTAACATTATAACCTGATCTTTTATTTATAACAAAATTAGTCAGTGTAACCAAAGAAAATTACAAACAGGCTGAAACTAATTGTTCCTCAGACGTTTTTTCAAATTAATCAGCAATTGTCTCAGTTTATGGATGAAATTCAATATCATTCAAGCTTTCAAAGCATGCAGAGTAAAATACTTTTGTTTTATTTGATAAACTTATTTATTTTTCAAAATTCCCTCCACAATACAATTAAGAAAACACAAGTTACAGAATTTAAGTTTACTTATTGATCATAACTAAGCATCCAATAAAAAGACAAAGAATCTGTACAAATTGTAAATACATTTTCTTAGTTCCTTAATACAATGCTTCAAGGTAGCATTATCTCAAAATGATGTATTTAAGTGTTTTAAACTCACAAGAAAGAAACCTATCGTTCTATAGGTATTTGAAGAACTTGTAGCATTCCACCACAATTTAATTCTTTGTATTCCACTCCTCATCAGTGACCCTGAATACTACCAATGAAATATTAGACCTCACTACTATAAAGGCTTGAGGAGGAGTGGAATTCTCCAAAACTAGTCTGGCTCACAGACACACCCCTAATAAAAGAATAGACCATTCCTAGTTTTTACTTGTTGTTAACAAATGTTTAAACAACTCTATTCAATTATGTACCAGCTGCCTAGTGTCGGCTAACAATATGGAGAATTAAATTGTGGTGAAATGCTACAAGTTCTTCAAATACCTATAGAATGATAGGTTTCTTTTTTGTTAGTGTAAAACACTTAAATACACCATTTCGATAACTCACTACTATAAAGGCTTGGTTTGGTCTGATATTTCATTGGTGGTAGTGTCCAGGGTCACAGACACACTTCTAATGAAAGAATAGACCATTCCAAGCTTCTACTTGTTGTTAAACAAATGTTTAAACAACTATATTCAAGCATTATCTCTTCTATCCAAATTTGATTCTCTTGGTTTCTTTACACTTACAATTAAAACAAATGTTACAAAAATGAAAAAGTAGCCAACCAATCTTTCTGATAAGTACCTACCTTAAGGTAAAATGGCAAAAGACTAGATGCAGAAAAAATACACACAGCAGCTGGAAATGTTACAAATGATGTAGAAGGTTGAGAAGGACCACCCTAAAAAAAACAAGAAACATCAAAAATACTTTAAAATTTCAGATGATCAAATGAGTGCTGTGATTCAAAATAAAAAATAAAAATCCTAACTTTGCCAATTATCAAATCATGAAGGAAGGAAAAATAAACACAAAACAATTACATTAACTATTAATCTTAACTTAAGTCATAATAAAACAATGCAAATAACAACACAATAGTTGTTTGAAACAAAAAATTAGGAAATCCCCAATTCTATAAAAAAACAAAAGCAGGTTTTCTCCACAATTTAGTAACTGGTTAAACACTACTGTGCAAAAGTTTCACAGTTTCAACAATTATGTTTTTATAACTGATTAAATAACTCAAACCACTGATATGTTTAACTATTTTTGTATTTCAATAAAAGATAAGTACTCCATGTTTTTCAAATAATTAAGTTATGTACACACTTACCAGCAGACGACAACAATAACCATGTATCTTTTCATCCTTTTCATCAAACAGCATGAAAAAGAAGCTCTCACTAGATAATATATGAAAAATAACCATACTTCTAGTTCACTGCTTATACTATTCAAATACAAGTATTGTCATCATATGTCATCAATTGCTCTTATTCACACTTTAATTCCTAAAACTACTTATATCTGGAGACTTCAGAAAACAATATTTTGGGTACCAAAACCCTAAACTACTAACCTTTTATACACTGAAGTTGGTTTCAAGGAACTTGCATCAGGAAAACATAAGTGAGACAAAATGTTGCTGTCATAAACTAAGTTCTCCTAAAGTAAAAACATAAACAGTCCAGACATCACAGGACTTTATATCATTTTAAACAACTATAAAATAATTTACACTAGTAGTTTACTTTCTTATCAGAATTTTAGGGATATCTTTCAACACGTAATACTTCTTTTCACATTACTTTATTATTTCCATGGGTTAAAATATTAGAATCATTTATTTCATTACAAACAAATTTCTTCACTACCTCAGGCCACTTTTGATTAACTCTAAAGAGTGCAATTACATAATTTGTTTTCATGGGGAAATATATGTTCAGGCATGTACCACATACAATTCTTACTACTTAATACCTCTACAAAAATAATTAGGCTTAGGTGGTCATTATAAACCACTAAACATGACAAACTGATATCTGATCACCAAAAGTTTACTGTATGCACTTAAATACTAATGGCTATTTCAGGAACTTATATTAAAGTGGCATCACTTCTGAATCTATCAATGCTGATGATGTGCAATTTTCTTACAGGGTGAGACTGTACATATACATAGAATATTATCTGTCCCATACCCATTTTTAACAATGAAATCATTCTGTTTAATAAAATATTAGAATATTCAAGAAATGATAAAACAAAAGTATTGGCACATTATGAAAGATTTAGCTTTTCTTTTTTTTAGTTTCCAAAGAAACAGTCATTGATTCACTAATTTCAACTTCCAAGGTTGAGGTTTTGAGATAAAATTAGAATTAATGACCAACGTGCTTTTTTTCTAATTGTTTGCAGCAGCTTGTAATGAGATCTCAGAAATTTAATCAATAAATTACAGTGACTCATAAAATAATCAATTAATCAAAAATACGATTAACTGATTAACGTCACAAAAATAACCAATCAAAATTAGAGTTTCCAAATATTTGTTTATTTTTTATTATTTCAACTATCCATATAATTGAAATATTGCCATTATGTTTGCTGTCAAACACAAAGCTATATAATAAGAGGAGAGAGGTGTCTCATCATTTGAGGATCTCAGGTTTCATTCCCAATGCCACTAAACTAGCTTGCCCTGTATTTGTTATTGCAAAGCTACTAAGACTATCTGCCACTAATTTTGAACTACTTAATAGAGGCAACTGGCTGACAGCACCCACTTCCAACTCTCTGGCTACTTAAGTGTTAAATAAAGTTTAAATATGTTTTGTTTTTTTAACATTGTGTTATGTTTCCAAGTTATAATTTCATAACTGTATTTTTTAAGGTTGTATAACCAAGTGCACATATAGTGGAGGGATACAGGGGGTCTGTACCCTCCCTCCATCAATGTTTTATCTCATAAATTAATAAGTGTGGTCTTTTAACATTGTACAAGCAGGCATGGATCCATGAGAAGGGGGTCTTGACTAAAGCTAGACAATTAGTGGATATTTGCTAATCAACTATTGATACTTCATTAACCCTAAACTTATGTGCACTCTTTTCTACACATGTAATGAGGTTTCACTGAGTAACAATCAAAATTTAATAAAGCAACTTTACTATCAATGCATGTCATTGAAATTAGCATTATAATGTATATTACAATTCAATTTTTAATTCCTTTATTTCAAAAGAAACTTGTAACAAACATTCATAATCTTTGGTTTTGTTGTCCCATGATGCACAAGCACTTACAAGTCTTAACTTTAGGTCTCTCTAACTTAAATAATCTTTTGTGTACACAAGACATCTACACCTAGACAAGAAACAAGGCTAATTACTCTTATTTATTTCAAATTCCTTAGTACGAGTTTCGAGAAAGTCAAAATAAATTTCTTGGGAAGTCTTTACAGAGGCCATGCAAACTTTCTACACATAGACTTGCAATTTCAAACTCAATAGAAGGGGCTCATTTTAAACTACAATCTCCCAATGGTTATTTTAAGATTGGCATACAGAATTCCTTACAAAGTCAAACCATTCATAGCATTCTTACCACTTCTGTTTTCACTAGCACTTAGCATTGTTTCTCACCTTGAAGTATGTTAGTTAGTATTTAGGTTTTAGCTCTATATTTTAGTTAATTATGTGTTATTTATGTTTTAAAATGCATATTTGAAAAGCTTGACATTTTTTAAAAATTTAACCCAAATTTTGCCTTTGTTCATGAGGCGTAAGTATTGTACGCGAGCACAACAGCATTATTGCTGATGGCTAAAGTATCTCTGTTGACAATATGATAATACTGCCCCTGAAACCCATTGATGTGTGTTGCAATAAATAATGATAATGCTAAAGGATAGGAAAACAAAATAAAACATTAAAAATAAACTATATGTGACAATGTAAAGACTTACAATTAAGAATATAACCAAAAGATTAATTGATGAAAAATGAAAAGGTATGTACATTTTTTTATTTCTAATGTTTAAACATTTCATTGCACTATACATTGATGACAATACCTGAAATATTCATAGTCTGAGTGTAAATAACTACATTAAAAAAATAATAAATCTTTAGTTAAAATACTTAATAAAAAAAAAATATCATTCCTCGTGCAAACAGTACTTGTAATCTTCTAATTGCAATTGTGATATGTTAGAAATATAAACATTACTCTCCTTACCAGCAATAATAAAATACGTTTTCATTATACAATTATAAATTGATTTGACTTACAGAATATCTGTGTGGGATTACTGTATAAAACAAATATTAAGGAATCAAGAAGGAAATGTACAAATTATGTTTGAAAAAAATTGTGGTCAAATACTGAAACATTGTTTTTATAAAAAATTATGCTTTTTAAATGTACATTGGGCAACCTTTAGAAGGAGTCAACCATCTGAAAATAAGTGTAATTCAAAAACAAAAGAATATGAAGAAAAATAGGAAGATTTTTTAATCTTATAATACATTATCATCATGTTAGAATAATGCAGTGGTTGGAAATGTATGAAGGTAATACACACTTGTTTTTTTTCTTCCTTTTTTTACTTGTAGGACATGTGTGTGTGTGTGTGTGTGTGTGTAGGAGGCATCCATTAATCGATTAACTCTGTCCATACAGGGTCGGTCGATGTGACATACCTTGTAACCACAAAGCCACCAGAGTTTCATACTATAACTTTTAATGTAATGTGTGTATCATCACAAAATTTTACAGCTTTCAAAAACTTTACAAAATTTGTTTAAATTACGTATTTATACTAAAAATTTCTCCATGAATATATGGAATCAAAGTGTTGACTGCTGCAAGTGCAAAGTGATTTTCACATTAAGATTAAACACACTTTTCTTCATCTGAAAATTGTCAAATTTCCTTTGCATAATCTCTAAAACCTCCTAAATAAATATCAAACATTTTCTCCAGTAAAACTTTATATTTTATCAGTTACTTTCTCTACCCTAACTGTACATGAACTTGGTCAATTTAATCAACCTTGTAACCACTATAAAAAAATATGAAGTAAATTTAAGTTACCCTTTTTTTCTTTCTAGAATGACTGCAGATTGTAACAGAACACTACAATTATTTATCCTAAATAGCTTAAGGCTCGAAATAGTCTATATCTACTTACTTTTATTCTCCTCTGAACCATGTTTAACTGGTAATCCTATATACAAGTTGTAAATCACTTGGGAAATGTGTAGTTCTTGTTACCATATTGAAGGACATAACACACGAGCTACTTGTGAGCATACCCCGTGAAAAATATTTTTTCATTAGCGTACCTAATCTATTTAACCTAGTAAGTTTCTAATTTTTATATTTTAGTTACTTTTATAAAAATATAAATGAAAAACAAGAAATATAGCACTGTTTGATTGCCAATGAAGTTCAAGCCTACTTTTTTTTTATAATGATAGTACTAATTCATTGAATAATTTATATTTATTTAGATAATGCACTTAAGAACACAGAATAATAATATGCACAAAACAAACAAATTTTTATAACTATTATCATTTAAATGGCTTTCTAACTAAGACAACAAGGCTTAACAGGGTTCATATAAGTTTAAGGGAAAACAATTCAAGGACAATTTAAGGATATATTCCAGATTTTCAAGGATTCACATAACTCAAAAATTAATATATAGATAAATTTGTCACTAAGTCATACCTGAATAAATGAGACACTGAATATTCACTTAATACAGCTACAAAATGCAAAGTCAGTAGCAGCACCAACAAGCTTGTTATTGCAACAAATGTTGAGATAAGATAAACATGCAAAATAGTACATTAACACTCATTCTCAAATCATGTCCAGTTAATTAACTAAAAAATACTAATATATCAAAACCATGACATTAGGCTCACAAACACACTAAAATAAAATTTAATAACAGTAGTCTTGACATGAAATCAAACACAAATTTTTAAAGAAATCTTTCCATTTAATATTTTATCAGTGAGTAACACTATTTCAGTTGAGAAATAAGCTGTCTATGAATTAAATCCTTACATTATCAGTACATTATTACTACTAAAATATTCTAACAATTATTAGTTTAAAAGAATAAATTAATTAATTAATAAATTAGTTTATAAAAAAAATCTGCAAAGTTAACTGTGACAAGTACTTGTCTTAAGTACACAGTAATTCGCATTGACACATCTCAAAAAGTGTCGTCTATAATTATATTTAAGTAAAGTAACTTATTGTGAACATGCCCATTCCCTAAAAACAAATACTAAGCATGATAAATAACTATACAATAATAAAAAATATAAACTATAAAATTAATTATAACTTCAAATCAAAAAACATATTTTGAACATGCTGTTTTATTTAAATTTATAGCAATTTATAAGGCAATTGATGAAAAGTTAATACCAACCTGTGATTGCAGAACTTCAGAGTGAACAAAGCACAGCCAGTTAAAACTTTAAAATCCTGTCATTTTGCAGGAGCATTATGCAACAGAATGTAGATACTGGAAATTATGACCTCCACATTCCAACCAGCTACAACACATCCTGCTTGAAAGCCATTGTGCAGTTTATGCAGTTCACAGGTCCCAACATTTAAAATTTTGTGACTGGTTTGCTGTTCAATTCTTTTTGAAAGATCTTTTAAAACCTTTAGGTTCACAATAGGCTCAACCATCGAAAGTTGCAGAAGATCTCTGAAGCCAAATATTATGATAAAACTGGATATCTTTTTGTATACATCATCTGCAGTAGCATGTCCAATAAATTTAGATGTATAATAAAAGGTTTTACCTCATAAACACAGAGGAAGCAAATGTGGATGTCTAGCTGTTTTTCCTGCAGATCTTCATTTAGGCTTTCATCAAACAATAGCACAACTGAATTTCCTTTGTGATTTTGTTCAAGTTTTGCAGACAAATGTGGAGCTATACCAAAAGTAGCAAAGCATGCCATTTTGCATTCTGTACAGCTGTACTGCTTAACAACTGAATTGTCTAGAAAAATGAAATTGAAAACATTTTCACATGAGTGAAAACTGTAGTGGCTTGTGAATACTTTTAAGGTCCATAATATTTCTGCTTTAACTCTCTAAACACGGGCTTAGTGAATTTGACCAACCATGTGACCTCTTTGTACTCGTTTAAAGTCTTTGTAGATTTAATACTTCTAACTTTCAACTGTGTATATTTTCACAAAATTTGGCAGTCTTTCAGTTAATATTACAAGCCTTTCACATACAAAAAATTATATTTTTTAGTGAAGGATTTTCAAAAAACTAAAACAAAGATTTGTCCATGAATATATTGAGTATTTGTTTTGGATAGTCTGTGTGCAAAGGGATTTTGATGTTAATATTAAAAATAGTTTTCCTCATCTCAAAAATCTCAAATTTAATTTCTGTAATCTCTAAAACATCCTAAATACATATCAAATGCTTGTTTTCAGTAAAACTTTATATTTCATCTGTTATTTTCTCTCCCCTAACTGTATACAAGGTTGGCCAATTTGACTGACCTTGTAGCTCCTAAAAAAAAGGCAATAAAATAAATCTAAATTACCCTCTTTCTCTTTCTAGAATGACTTTAAATGTGGAGTGAAACTACATTCTTCTATCATAAATAGCTTTAAACTCATAACAGTATACATCTATTTATAATTAAATTTCATTGTTTTGTTGTCCTTTTAACCATGTCTAACTATTATCCGCGCATTATAAGTTGTAAATCACTCAGGGAATGTGCATCTCACGTTATGCTCTTGAATTATGTTATCCACGAGCTATTATGAGCTGCTCGCGAGTTAGCCTCGTGAAACATATTTATTATTATTATTTATTTTACCTAATCTAATCTTAACTATCATAAAAAGATCCCTATTTTTACACTTTAGTTACTTTTATAATAATAAATAAATAAAAGTACTCACCCAATCTTCTTTTTTCTTGCTGTCGATTGTCACTGCCACTTAACCATACTTTTTTATACTAATGGTAGTAATACACTAAATAATTTTTATTTAATTAAATAATGCACCAAAGAATGTAGACAAAAAGTAGACAATTTCTCCTAACTCTCAAAATTTTTCTGGCTTTATAACTGCAACAAGAACCATTACTAATTCATTCAAACTAGTCATTAGCTTTCCTACTGGAACGGAGCTGAGTGAAATTGATGATTATCTGTTCAGAACACAACATTATACAATCCGTCATTTGATAGATGAAAACCTCGGCTTTCTATTGGTTATAGGTAATATATAATTAAACATAAGACATAACTATTAATAAATCCTAAAAAAGAGGATGTGACAGGTGGGTGTGGCAGGAGGGGGCTGATTTTATAGCTCTGTAACCAAACAAAATTGAAGGTTATACCAATTACAGTTAGTCTGAGTAATAACGATTTTATAATGAGTAATTTGCATTTAATTTTGTATTTTTTAAAAGGGGTGGTGGATAATATAGAGAAAAGAAGATGCCTAGAGAAAATATGTCATGTGTCACACCAGGGGAGATTCAGGATTTTTTTTTAATATTGCCTTGTAGAATTAAGAACTTAAATCTTATATATTATTAAAATATGGATTATTAGCTAAGATTTTATACTGTACTAATTGGTATAACATAAAAAAAGTAGTCATGCACGATAGGGTTAAGCAGTTGTAGAGTAATTGCTCAAATTCAAACTCGGTGCATTAGTAGTAGGCATGGCTGCTCCCCTTTTGCCTCATTAATGCTAACAGAGTCAGTAGTTAAAGTAACATTACCAGTAGAAGAAGAAGTGCCTATTATATTAGCAGGCTGGCTTGACTTGATAAGTGTGGAGTGTTTTTCCCTTTTGTGTGGCTGTTTAATGCCAACTCCCCCATAATGTGTGTCAGTGTGTCTCCTACATAGAAAGCAGTACCCTTTGTGAGCAGAATCGTATTTTCTAAGCCAGTCACGATATTCTTTTCTATCAAGCCATGCATCATTAAAATGGCAAGTCTCACATTTATGGAGGCAGCTCCTGATTCCTTAAGTAGATTTCCCTCTGAATGACTATACTGAATTTTCGCAAAAAGAAACAACAAAGTTACCTTTCATAAAACAGGAAGTACTGTGTAGTTCATTTTAGAAAAACATGGATTAGTCGAAATTCTGGATAAATCGAACTAAATGAAAAGTCCCAAATTCTTCCTTCATTTTGACGTGTTTTAAAAACATGCTTAATTCTTACTAAAAAATATGAACTTCTGTTAAATCAAAGAAATACCATGCCTACAAATCTAAGTTCAAATATTATTTTTACCAAGATTTTTTGGACAGAATTCTTAGACGTACCATGGGAAGCAATACCTATTCACAACTGAATGGTACCTGTCTGGCACATGTACAGATGGAAGTATGTTGGTTTCCACTGACACACTGGTTAGATTTATTTGCTTCGACTTCGTTGTTTACTACCTTCATTACAATTCATTTATAGAGTTTAAATATAGACTTCGCAGTCGATAGAATGATGGCGAAAATGACAGTAACATCAAAACGTTAAAGTTGTTGGAAGAAGTAGATAAAAGCCAGGATAGCAAAACAACTATTGTCGCTAAATATAAAATACTGAAATTTTATTAATGTTGTGAGCTTTCTGCTATGTTAACATAGGTCTGTAAACAGATATAAAGTACACCCATTATGTTAATTTTTTTTTAATATGTATTCATGTAGTACATATGTCGTTTAATGTACACAACTTGTGAGATTGAATGTTATTTTTGTAGACAAGGGACTTAAGCACGAAAAATAAATAATTTAACACATATACATTTACTCTCCTTGATTTTTTAAACATTGACTACACACAGTTACCTTCCTTGATTTTTTCTTAAGAATTTGATTAATCCAAACTTCTCTTTATTCAAACTTTTTCTCTGGTCCCAAGAAGTTCAAATTAAGCAAGCTCCACTATATTATTTGTAAAAATAAGGGCAACCACTCACATTAATTACCAGCTGACATACCCACTCACCAAGTACTAAAAACTTGCGATGTTCTATTTATAAAAAACACATACAAACACATGGACCTGCACAAAGATATGCTTAGTTTTTACTTCATTCTCAGTTTCCCAAAATTCAAGGATAGAATCAATATTTTAAAAATAATCAAGTACATTCATGGATAGAATCAATATTTAAAAAAAAAATTAAGTACATTCAAGGACTTAAAAAATGGTTTCAAAGTTCTAGGATATTCAAGTATTTTCAAAGACCATACAAACCCTGCTTAAGATAATTCCCTAAGCTACTTTATCTGAATACCACAAGATAAACTGAAGACAAACTTGACAATACTCTGTACTGAAAAAAATGTAGTGTTATACATGATTTGATAGATTAAAACTTTGCCTTTCTATTGGTTATAAATGATATAACATAAAACATTAGAGAGAATTATTGGCAATTTTGAAAAATAAGATGAGACAGATGGCAGTGTTCCAGATAAGGAACATACTGGTATAACTCTTGACCAAAAATCAGCCATTTATGGCCTTAAAGTTTTTTTACTGCCATGGAAAAATGAATACAGTTCATGCCACTTTAATGGTAGTACAGTAATTAATGGGCAGATTCTTGTAACTTTCTGCTGCAGTTCTGCACAGTTCACAAAGTAGAGCTGCAAAAATAAGCACTCTCTAACTTGTAGAAGTTTCTCTTGGTGCACTCATGAATGAACCAAAGTTTGTGTAAAGAAATAAAAGAAAAATTGTAATGTCATTATTTATGTTTATTACGACTACATATGGTGATTTAATTTGATAAATTAATCCTGTGCCAAATTTCACCTTTTGAAATAATAAAATAATTCATAATTAGTTAAATTACTCTCACTGAAAGAATTCTAAGAGTGATTATCAGGACCACTGAGATGGGTGTGGCAAGTGGATCTGATTTTCCAGTTTATGACTCCATAACAAAGAAGACCGAAGCCAAAAAAAATTATACTTTGCCTTAGTAATATTTATATTATAATAAGCAATTTATGTTAAATTCCATACTACAGAAAGGGAAGGGTGGAAGACCTAAATAAGAAATGTCACAATCCTCATACTACGATAGATTGAGAATTTTGTTTTTAATATTTCCTTATATAATTATAAACTTAAAACTTGTATAATATTAATATTTGATTTATTAACTACATTTTGATTCCAAGTTTATTGATATACATTGATAATAAAGTAGTTTAATTAAACTTTGAATGTAACTCGACTTACCCATTGTGAGAAGGTTCATGAATCTATCAATTAATCAACTAGTAAATACCACTAATTGTCTAGCTCTATTGATAATATGGCTTTGTTCTGTGCTTTATTTCAACACATAATGGGATTTGTTTGTACATGTCCACTTGCAAATACATTTGTAAGGAGACACAACAACTAAATTGTATTTGTAAAAAAGAATAAACATATATTTTTATATACAAAATAATCAATAATCCAACAACCACAAGAAAGTCTAGTAATTAAAAACTATTTCCTACAAGGTGTAATATATAGGAAAATATTCAAAGTTAAGAAAACAGAATTATTTACCTGTTTGGGATATCTTAAGGCAACATAAGGTTGTGGCTGCCCTTGTGCATCTTTACGAACTGCTACAAGAAGAACAGAGCTAAACACAGAATTGCTCTCAGGTCCTTTTGCATAAGAAACCTGTAAAAACATTTTAAATGAATATATAAAACTGTAATCTTACTTTTGAATTCCTTATATACACATTGCATGCTTTGAAAAACGTTTACAAAACTTTTTTTTTTTAATAGACAGATTCACTTCAATATTTAACTCTCAAATAATTAAATTTTTTCTAAAATACCATGCTTCTGAGATCTGAATTAAGAAAAAAATTAACTAGCTAACTCATCTTTCACCCTCCTCTCACGCCCTTGATTAAAATCAACAAAACTTGAAATTTAACAGACAAAATAATAAACATTCTCAACAGCCAAATGATTTGATTTATGGATGGGTGAACAGAAAGACAAATTAATCACATATAAATAAACTGACATACTAAAAGAAATATAAACTTACTTGCTAATGGAAGACAGATGGTCACATAGACATACAGATAGACAGGTTTGGTGCAGATACAAATTAAGAGAAGTTATTAGGATGTCATTTTGGCAAACTTTTCTGTTCTTAATTGAAGTCACTGGTAATAAATGCAACTAAGCACATTATTCACAGCTACCTCACACATAGAGTTGGTCAACAGAAAAATAAATTATCTAGTAATTCAAGATCAGGAATTATTTGTAAAACACCGAAGTTTTGGGAAAGATAGATCGATCCGGATAAAGGAGAATATATGTGAAATGACAAAGAGAATATGAAACCTTGATGGCAAATAAATTTGACCTATGACATCCACAGGCTAATAGGAGAAGAAAGTATTCTTAAGGGACAAGAGAAAAATTGAGCACAGGCTTTATGGGAATACATGTATAAGTTTTGACGTGTATTCAGAAAAAAGATCCTTTACAAGTTGTACCTTCATTTCTTGTCTTTATCATAATACAGACATCTCCAGGATTCTGTATCTTAGCAGTTGCTTCTAGAATATAGAGAAGTCTACTACTCCTACCTCTCTAGCTTTCCATCCTACATCTTTAACTTTATACAAGACTTGAAAGTTATAATTTTCCTATACTGAAAACATATTTCCTGTATGTACTTACCTCCTGTTACATAAATAGCTATTCTCATTTAGTGCTGCCCTCTTATGCAAAAATTTTTTTTGCATGCCATAAACCTCCCAAATGCCTTACAATCAACTGTTTCAGCTGCATCTTGCATGTAAATCCTCATGCGACAACACTCCACCAATAAGAGTGCGATACATATTCCCAACGCACGTGACTCCCTCTATTTGATTCTACCAAACTATCACTACGAGTTTTGGCAGAAAATGGAAGCACCGGTTTAGAGTGAGGAGGAAGGGTGGGAGGTGTCATAGGAGGTAAGTACCTATCAAAAATATATTTTCAGTATAGGATAGGAAAATTATAACTTCCAATATGATACATTACCATACTGAATAGGTGGAGGGGAAAAATAAAGAAGCATTCCTAGAGAGCATCTGAAGAACACCCTAAAAAGAGTAGATCCTCACAGTAGAGGATCATACATAGGAGACCATTCCACATCTGTATCAGGTGTATTTTTCACCCAGTGTGGAATTAGGTGTCGCAGACATGGATGGAAAAAGGGAGAAGCACATCCATATGGGAGAGAACAATGGTGGGATAAGGATCCAAACCACCATATAACAAATCTTGATCCCACAGAGTACTGGAATGTGGGTGAAAGTAAAAGGATATGCCCCTAGGTGTAGAGTGGCTAGGGTGCAACGGCCCTTAGACAGCAAGTCAACTGCATTCAAAACCCAGCCACAGGGAACTGACATCCATGTGGGGGTAGGAAAGGAGATCATACCAACAGCAAGTCAACTACAAACCAAAATCCAGCCATTTGGTGGGGGTAGGAAAGAGGATCATACCATCTTCACCTCAAGTTCAGCAGAACAGAGGGAATCCCAAACCTACCACTATGTGAATGGGACAAATGATAGCAATGTGATAAACTGCTTGACCAATCTGGACGATCAGCATAAGAAAGATGTATCGGTAATGGAAACTAACTCACTCAGAATCATCTGACAGGAACTGCCCCCAGTGCAATAACATCTTTGATATATGAAAACATCAAAGGATTGCGTAAGAGAAAGAACTGTATTAAATTACATGTCTAACCACTGAAATCCACAACACGAGTGGAGGAAACAAGAGTATAATTTAGTGAGGCACAGATACACCTGTAAGGCATGTATGAGGACTTATGTTGATTATGGGGGTAGGATGAAAGATTCCAATCGAGGGGTGAACTGTATTTTGAGGGCTAACTCCAAAGATACAACATCCCCTCCGATAAACCCATATAAAGATGGAACATCAGATTCAAGGACATATCACCAGCAGAACACCACCACCCTACTCTCAACTGAACGGTTGTAACATTATTTGTATCATATATCAATATCACATTCAGAAGGTTGCCTCCATGGTCCACCACCCCAGCAGACTTTGAACTGGACAGTGTTAAGAACTCCCATACTGCACTGGAAGTAAAAGGAGGGGGAGAAAAATGCAGTGGAGAGTCAAGAAGAACTTCAACACCAGAGACAGTGCAATGGGTGACCATAAAAACCCATCTTTGAAAAGCAGACCATATCTGATTTATTCAGTCGAAAGCAAGGCAGGGATGGGCAGCTATTCCCTTCTGGTTTACCCATGAAGTCCACAGGTGAGTACGGTCCAGAACAGGTATATTAATGAAGAAAATATATCAGTAGAAAAAACCAATATGCAATCTTATGGAACACATCATCTCAACAGTGAGAGTTTTACGGCCATGAAAATTAAAAATATGCAGTCAGCACAGCCAAATAGTGCAAATTTGACTATTTGAAGCATCCTGGTCAGGTACCACTTGCCACAGAGCAAAATCCAGAGAGTAAAAAAATAAAAAAGGAAAAGCCCTTGAAAAAAATAAAAATATATATATAAAAGATAACTTACCCAGTCACAATCTCACCAAAGCCTGAAGAATGGCTACAGGCAGAAGATGATAGCCTAAAAATGAAGACACAGTGATCCAACGCAGATAGTGAGATATGAAAATACATGGGATAGTCCACATGCCCGATTGAAGAATTTGATCCAAGGGATGAGGGAGGTGGGACACCAGGGAAAAGGTAAGGTGCCGGATCTGATGAGAAGACACCTGGAACAAACTACGGGAAGAAGAAGATAAGGAAAAACAAGCAAATCGAATTAAAAGCCAAACCCAATTGGTCAGAGTGGAAGGAGAAAGATCACAAACAGAGGATGTCTGCTAAGGAATGAATAAGCAAGAACAGCCACCATAAAAGGAGGCCATGCAAGCAATGCAACAATGAACAGCATGAAAGGGAAATAGTAGCCTATCCCTTATTTGGATCTGACTGAGGAAAAAGGTGGGAAATGGAAGGAAGTGAAATTGGTGAGAAGGAGGATTCATCCTCCCAAGCCACTGAAGTTTTGGGAAAGATAGATCGATCCGGATAAAGGAGAATATATGTGAAATGACAAAGAGAATATGAAACCTTGATGGCAAATAAATTTGACCTATGACATCCACAGGCTAATAGGAGAAGAAAGTATTCTTAAGGGACAAGAGAAAAATTGAGCACAAGAACAGAGGCATAAAGAGGTAGTAAAGAACCACATTAACATCCCAATCCGGAAGGACTGCACCACGAGGTGGACAACTAATCTCGAAGGAATGCAACAACAGGGAATGGGTAGGAGAGGTAAAAACTTTACGGTACCTGGAAAACGAAAAATGTGGGATAAGGCAGCCGAATAATCCGTGATCGAGGAGACAAACGACCCCTGATCAAACAGGCCAAGTGAGGAAATTTGTAATATGAGGAACAGTGGGTCAAGCAGGGGAAAACTCTTGACCCAAAAACCAATGGTGGAAAATGTTTCATTTACGTTGATAAACATCCCTTGAGGAAGGTCAAATGGAACAAGCTAAATAAGAAGTGTCCCACCAGGACAAATTGGATCTCCTCCCCAGGGACCAGATAAAAACTAGGTGTGAAGATGGCTGGATGTAACACCAGTGACTGAGATTGATGTAGAAGGGATGGAATAAGAGGAAGTGGTAACGGAGGAGGCAAATTGGAAGTGGAGCAGCTGCAGAAACCACAGTTGTGCCAGCCAGAAGAACTTGACATTCCATCAGATAAACTTTGTCGGGATGGGAAAGACAGTCCACAAAAAGATTGAAAGGACCTGGAACATGTCACACAAGGATACAAATACTGAGCTTGTGAACCCAAGAAAGGAAATCCAAAGTTCAACCACAAATGGAATGAGAATGGGTGCCACTTTGGTGATTGATATAAGCCACCACTGTAGAATTGTTGGAATGGATCATGACCAGATGATTCCTGGTAAGATGAAGAAAATGATCCAACACACGATTTACAAATAGAAACTGCAGAATGTATTTATGGTAAGATCTTTCAATCAGAGACCACAGACCTGAAGCTTCCTGCTGATTTACCCATGTCTCCCAGTCCTGAAGGGAAGCGTCCATAAAGATATTCAAATCTGACAAAGGGGAGGAACTGGAACACTCACCAACATGTGAGCCTTGTCCAACCACTAATGCAGATCACCTACTAGGGAAGGAGGAAAAGAAATAGGAGCCTCCAATGGAGCTCACACAAGATTCCATTGGTCATGCAGAGCCCAATGAAGAGACCTCATATGCAATTGACTCAAGGATATAAGGGTTTTCATGGAAGACCACATCCGCAAAAGAAGGTTGAGTCAGACTGAGATGACTGTTGAAAAAGACACCAAAATGGACAAGATATTGGGTAGGTATAAGGAATGACACATCCAATTTGATTAACTAACTCACATGAGCTGCCTCCAGGAGCAATATATGAGTGTGATGGGCAGACAACTTTTTGGAATGAGCTGACAGAAGCCAGTCATCCATGTAATAATGCAAGTGCAGCCCCTGGGCATGGAAGTGTCAGGCAAAAGCTTGACCACCCAACAAAAGACATATGGGGCTGAAACAAAGCAGGGCACAAAATTGATAAACTACCCTGTGATGAATGAACTGAAGATAGTACCTTGACTGACAAAATATTGGGATATGCAGGTAACCATTCGCAATGTCTATCTTGGTCATCTACAAACTTGGAGAAAAAGTCCACTTGAGGGTGAGAAAAGACTCCATGGTAAATCGGGGTAGAACCATAAATTGATTGAGGTAGGACAAATCAATCACAGGCCACAAGTCCCTGGTTTTCTTGGGTATCACAAACAGACTGGAAAAAAACCTGGAGAAGAATAATCGACAGGTTTGATGGCCTGCTGGGAGAGAAGATCTTGTACTGCCTCAAACAGATGTTGACTGGTGGTAGGATCCTGAGGCAATAGACACGAAACAGGTACCTGAGGTAATGCAGGAGAAAGAAATGGATGACAAGTCCCTCAGATTATACCCGATTAACCCACAGATCTGTGGTGAAAAGTCGCTAAAATGAAACAAAATTGGTTAAGTGGGCCCCCCACTCCCCAGTGGACCTGAACACTCTGGGTAGTCACTGTTACAGTTGGCAATGTGTCCATCTGTGTCAAATAAAATGATGAGAAGGAGTTGGATGAGAAACAGTAATAGGGCATATCTAGGCTCTGAATGACACAAATGATCCACCAAAGAATAAAGGGTAGTTTGTTGTTGCATCGAATCCATACAAGATTCTAAAGTTTAAAGAATATTACCAAAAACATACCGTTGTAGAAGAGGGGCCTTAGGTAAGTCCCAGAGATAAGTAGGTAATAAACGAACCTACAACAAAGCAGCATCCCTCTCTAGGACATCCCAACAATAGAGATACCATGTGTGTAAGGATAGAGCTGAAGAAGACAAACATGCCAACATGGAGGTAATCAGGGAGAGGCTATCCCATTAAAAACCCTCAGAATCTCTGTGGACTGCCTCAGAAAGAAGGTGGATGATAGACAAGTACCACAGGAGAGTTGATTGGGTAAGATAAAGTCAGGAAAACAGGGCATGGGATAAACAAACAGGATGATTAGGGCAAAAGCAATTCTTAGTGTTAAGAATCGAGAAACGGACATTCAGCCTGATGGTAGGTCAAGGCAAACTGATCTGAAGCCTGTGGAGGGCGAGGAATGCCGGCACCATCAACCATCCAGAGAAGAGGTAAAACCAAATACTGAAGAGGTGGTATCCTGTAACAATGAAGGAAAGGGATCATATGACATCGGGGAAATGGATAAAATAGAACAAACCTGAGAAATTATGTCTAAAAAAGCCATATTAGGCTTAGCTGATTGCACAGTAGGGACATAGGAAAACATGGCAAAATCAGGTGGAGGAAAAAGCCTGTCAAAATTCTCCTTCATCCAATCAGGTTCGGAATGTTCAAGAGGAATACGGCATATATGGTTTTTATACAAAAATTAGATATTTTTAGTGTACTGAAACAGAAGCAAATTGCAAAGATTACATTTTGGAGTTAGTACTGGTGTTAAGAAAGATATTTGAGTCTTATTCTCCCTTCATCTAAATTGAAACTGAAAGTGTTGTGAAGGGTTGCACAAGCTAATGTACTGTATGGATTGAAGCTTTTCATAAATTTATTTGGTATAAATAAATTTCATACATTTAGTTCCAGCATATACATCAATACTAACAATAATGCTTACCATGCTTAAAGAACCATCTTTAGGATAATGCTAAGGTAAATGTTGTTACTTTCTTAATATGTATTAGTAATGAATATGCACAATTTAAAATGTATTAGCTAAGAATGTAAAAGCTCTAATCTTGTTATCTGTGCAGTTCTGATCATCACAGTATAATCATGTTCAATTGAAGCAATATGAAAATTTTCGAGGCAATTTTACAATTGCTTCAGAGTTTTATTAGTTGAAAATACATAGAATAGAACTTAAAGGTTTTTAGTATAAGCGAGTAGTCAAGGATATATAAAAGAAAGGCAACAGAGAGATGCCTGTGTTACGAAATAAGTTTGTGGGATGAGCTCGAGAAGTAGTCATGTAAGGAGTGTTGCCTAGAAACAAGCAATAAGACGTGTGTATTACGAAATAAGCTTGTGAGGTGAGTTTGGGAACCAGTAAACAAGGTCAGTGGCATAGTTAGTAAGAAACATTGCCTAGAAACAAGATGAATACACCAGTACTTATGACAAGTTGAAGAATTACTGACCTCATCCTCTTAGAACTAAGAAAGCTACAGAAAAGTTTGGTTTGGTGAATCATATCGGCATTAGTATTAGTATTAGTGGTATTAGTTACAGCACATAGGTGTAGCAGTAAAAGTGAATAGGCAGCCGGCTAACACCACTTATCTGTAAGCAATTACTTGAAAGTTTTGTTTATGGTTCTGGTTTAGCCCGAGAATTCCCCTAAATAGGAACACAGGACTACTTGTGGGTGATGCTGTGTCCTATTTACTGGGTCAAAATAATACAGAGAAAAGATAGTTTAAAAACCCATGTCAGAGACTGAAAAGTTAAGTTCTCCGGGACTGAAGAAGTTCTCCAGTACCCATTAAGTTCCCCCGGGACTGAGAAGAAGTATTCTGAGTATCCAGAAGTTCTCCAGGCTTAAGAGATGACAATGAAGATGACGAACGTGGTTAAGAATTCTAACATCCCAACTTTACTATAAGTATAATCTCTCTTTCTTAATCAGCTAGTGTAGAAGTCATAGAAGATAGTAAATGTATGTAGATCAAGTGTTGAATACAATATATAAGTAGTAACTCAATAGAACTAATGTTTAAAGTGTAATGTGTAATGTTTTGGAGAAGTTATTAAATGTTAAATAAACGTTATTTTGAGTGTTCACCATTGGCCTGAGTCTCTA